AAACACACACAAAAAATATATTTAATATTTAGCTCTTTGTGCTAAATTTCAGTTTTATTGATCAGTAATAGGCTAGCCATTATAACAGAAGTAGCTTCAGTCAAACATACTGTTAAAATAGCCTAAATATAAAGTTATGAAACTTTACTTTGCCTTCAGCCAAAACTATTTACCAGGGAACCATTAATAGATTAATGAGACCAAAGATAAACACAAATTATACGAATTATATCTCATGTTTAACCTCTAGACTAGAGACATCCGAGCCAGCGGCAACCGTCAGAAGCACTGGCCGAGGTACGGCTGTTCCAGGCGGGGGAGACGAGCGCTGGGCGGGGGCGCGGCAACTCCGAAAACTTCAGATCAATTTTTTAAATAGGCTCTATCTTTATAAACAAACCACATATTTGAGCTTTAAACAACTGCATTGTCGACTGAAAAACTATTAAAACTACATTGCGTGACACAATAACAGAAGTATTTAATCTCTAAACGTTACTTACTAATTAAATCATGACCAAATACAACCAAAAACAAACGTTCAGTCTTGCTTGTGAAAGGTACTTCCTCGACAGCTGTTTTCAGTTGTGTGGCGATTTTTACAGCCCCAAGCAGCACACAAAACAGGCATTTTTCTCAATTCCCGGTATGAGAGGTATGGGAAAGTTGATCTCCCTAATATGGCGGCGCTGTTGACGTACGCTCCAGCGGCCAATAGGGCGTCTATGTATATTATGTCTATACAGGAAAACAAGGAGCTGGCTGAAGTTCAGGAAGTAGTGCAGCTGGGCATAAAGCCAATTCAGATGCCATAAACCACATGTTTATCTCCTCTGCTCATTGAAAATGCTCTGTGTAATAATTGCACAATTTATTGAACATTAGGTCATTTAGTGAGATAAACTCAAACAGTCACCATATGACTTTAATTATGGTTGTGGTCCTTGCTGTAGTTTTGTAACATCTTATTTTGCTTCATGTTTCATGTCAGTCAATTCATGTGTTGTCATGTGATCCTGTAAAAACAAGTCTTGAGTTTCATGCCACAACTTGCTTTTATTTTATGTTTGATCATATTTTGAGTATTAATAAACTGCACTTGGGTTTATTAAGGTTGCCTCCAGTGGACTTCCATGATACAAGTTTATTTGTGCATCTCTGCTGTGAGGCCAACCTTTTAACTTGATTTTGTAAAGGCTGTCAATTGAAAAACAATCACTCCCCCATTATTATTACATTTACACTTGTGCTTATCTTAAAAAGAGAAGAGTTTCTTTGACAAATGAAATAAGTCAAAGTTGTATGTATATATATTTTTTAGCAGGCCAGTTAAGAAAATGTTTCCATTTTGGGGAGATTTTAATTTATTTGGACCTGAAGGGAACAAGATTGTCGATGTATTTACAAATTCCAGCAGATTATACCCTAACAAAAACAAATACTTCAGGGTTTATGACATCAATAACATGAACAAAACTGGAGTTGCTGAAGCAACAGTCCTGTCATATGATCCATGTGAACACATTTTTTTACACACACACACACACACACACACACACACACACACACACACACACACACACACACACACACACACACACACACACACACACACACACACACACACACCCACACACAGTCCAGTTTAACCAGATGCTTTTAGCTCTGCACCACTGTATTTTAGTCATTGCCATTTTCAACCCAAATACACATCCTTAACTGTCACCACCATTTTTAATCATAGATCTGAACTTGCTGGCTTTACTGGCTTTCATTCATGAATGCTTTTGAATACAGAATAGGTTGTCTTTTCTTTTTAAACAAAAATGAAAGAAGCACAGACAAAAATGAAAGTATAAAGTTATGGAGGTTTAAATTGGCTGCAAATGTCCAGAATAACTAAAGATTTAAATTTTAAACAAAACTTATTTTCCAAAAGGACATTGCAAAATAATCAAAGCCTTGATCCAAATTTGAAGTTGAGATTTGCTATAAAAAGGCACGCCAAGTGTCCTGCTAGTGGGACACAGTTAACAGACTATATTAGGCCTCACAGTATTTACAAAAGCAAACATTACAATTGCATTCAGCATATTTTTATTTTTTTATTTTTTTTTTTGCCAAATTTGTATAATTCTGAAACAACACAGAGAGCTTGTCCAAATGAAGGTATCAGTGTGTCCATGATTCATTCTAAATTAATTCTTGATTTTCTTTTCATAAAAAATAATAACTGTACCATCTCTTTCTGTTTCAGTTTTATACATGCATTCACAAATAACACAAATGTCAAGTGTTCAGTATACTTTTATTTTCAAAATGAGTCTGACTGAAAAGCTCTCAATCAAAGCCAAGAATAAAGATCCCATTACAAGCTCATGTTATAAAAATGTAACAGACCATGCTGTGTACCATTATCCACAGACTTGACTAATCAGAAAAATATTTGAAGAGTTCAGATGCAAAAGCCTCTAAGTGCCATTTGAAATTTTCTTCTAGAATGATCATTTTTATCAAGCTTGTATATTTAAGTTCAGTAATTTCACTTAAATTGTCATTTAAGTGAAATTACTGAACTTGAATATATAAGCTTGATAAAAATGATCATTTTAGAAGAAAATTTAAAATGGCACTTAGAGGCTTTTGCATCTGAGCTCTTCATTTGGGCACTTAATTCAATCATCAACAGAGCCAAGACTTTTCCGGTCTGTCAGTATGCATAACTGGTTTAAATTGTCAAAGGAACACACACAAAAAAGTGATTTATGCTGTGTTGTGTGCTGAGAAGGTTCACTGCATACACTAAGAAAAGTGAAGGTAGTTACAGGCTGTCAAAAGTGCAAATGAGATTATGAAATCAAGGTCAACAACCGGTGTCTTAAAGGTAAATCATCAGTAATTTTGGCACAAAGCACAACTGGAAAATCTTGCTTTGTGTGGTGAAGATATTTTGAGTACAATGTTCTTTTAGTAAACAATGTCATGCAATCTGCAGTAAAATATATAATAATAACTATAAATCTAAAGTTTTAATAATTGTGCTATTTCTATGCAGGGGTGCAGTAAAGTGGGGGAAAGTTGATGTGCATATAGCCAAGAAAACACACCAACACAACCCAAACTGATCTAAATTACATATACAAATAATAATAATAATAATAATAATAATAATAATAATAAACAAAACACAACACCTACCTTTACTGGTGACAGAAGAAGCTTCCAGGACCAGTACACTGAAACAACAACTGTACACTCGGACGGACACACACACACACACACACACACACACACGCACACACACACACACACACACACACGCACACACACACACACACACGCACACGCACACGCACACACACACACACGCACACGCACATGCACACGCACGCACACACACACACACACACACACACACACACACACACACACACACACACACACACACACACACACACACGCACGCACACATGCACACACACACACACACACACACACACACACACACACACACGCACACACGCACACAACAACAAAAATTGAGGTAGAAAACTTGAATAAGAGGTTGAAATTAGTTCAGGCCCAGATTGTTTAAGCTCTGATAAAGAATTAATTTTCAATTTGTTATATTTTTGTAAAGGTTTGATGTAACAAAAATGTCTTTCTGTGTTCAGAAATGACTGTAGTAAACTTGCTGTAAACTGACACTTCAAATCAAAATCTCAAACACAAATACTGTATATAAAACTTGACAAAATAGTCTTTATAATGTCAAAATACAAATCCACAACCAAATAAAAGTAGGGTTTATGTCTAAAAACAAGCCTCATTTAGAGCTGGAATCTATTGGTTACATCATGGCATTACAGACGTTTTTCTTTTTTTACTCCCCAGATGACACTAATCTGCCTATACAAATATTGAATTTGAAAAGCTTTGTTCAGCTTTTATTAAAACATAATTTGGTATTTTTTTTGAGCAATACCAAGGGGTTAATATCATAATCAAGACACTTGTATAAATGCAGGAGTAAAAAAATATATAACTTTTTGCAAGCAGCTTACTGTAATAGTCAATTTTAAAAGACCTGGGATACATGCTGCTTGAAACAGTTAAATGGGTCGTTTAAATGGGTAATTTAGTTGTGTAACAGTTGTGGGTGGATTTTGGAGATCTTCTCTTCCGGACAGATGTCACAAAAAAATTATCTTTAAACAGTACATCTGCAAAAGCAGGTTACTGCTCAGTGCTCAGCGAATGCTGCTGAAATCAATGGGGAATCAGACAAAGTTTTAATCAGGTCAAATTTCTAGACCAAATGATAAAAAAATGGTCACTCCCACATAATTGTCGACATTTATTAGTTCAGTTATATAGTATAGGCCATAAGTTCAGTTATGTGGAAGTTATATGTTTTGTTTTATTTATTTGCATTTCTTTCCTTTTAGCCCAGTCCTTAGCCCAGAATCTGCAGCTAACATGGGATAAGTCATAACATAAAGTCACAATAAACAGCTGATTCCAAACATGCACTTCAGACATTTCGCATTGCATTGGACAACTAAACAAATAAAACAATAAAATGTTGAATTAAATACTACGTAATGTATACCTAAAAAAATTATTAAAAGGGACAGAAAAACTGCTGAATTGGAATTTATTAAAAAAAAGAAAAGAAAAAAAGGAAACATGACTTAAATTTGTGTCTTTATTATGAAGAACTTCAAACTATTAACATTGATTTAAAATGTCACTGTCAAGATTTCAGAAGTCACAACATATAAATCATTCTTCCTAATTTTACTCCTTATATTGTTTCATTTAGTAGGCCTATCCTTATATATTGGTTTATTTACATAGTCTAGTTTGGACCATATGTTGGGATTTAAGATTGCTTTTTTATTGAAAATAATTTTCACTAACAGTTGCTTGGAAAAGAAGTAAATGGTTTGTAAAACTATTCGTTGTTAGTAGGCGTAGAGCTGTAAGTGTCTACATTCATACTGAAAGTGAAAGCATGCAAGATCTCCATTACAAAGGCAGTCCTGCAGTCGAGCGGTTGTATTCTCGTGTCCTTGTCCATTTGAAGAGCATTTACACTGTAAGTTTTGTTTAAATCTTTAACCTATATTCGATGGTGTCATTTTTTAATATCCGTAAAGTTGACCATATACGGTTTAGTAGGCTAAATTGTAAACATTAACAGCAAGTCAAAAATCGTTTAAAAACTGACACGCTAAAAAGACAGAAGGAAATATTAGGGCACATTAATGTGGATGCCTCTCTTATGTTTATTAGTCATTAGTAGTCTTAACATCTAGGATGTTTGGTATAGCCTAGTTTCTTTTATTAGCCTATTTCATACACGGAAATATATCTAAATACGCGCGCATGCGTCAACACAACTAAACTTAGCACACTTAGTAATTTGGGCTTTAGAAACAGACTTAATTTGTACATAGGTTAAAGTGGGCCGGAACGGTCCGTAACTGCGTTCCGGCACCTCGGATAAATTAATAAATAAATAGATTAATTAATCTCAACGAATCTGCTTCTCCCGATATGGACCAACTTCCCTTCCTCCCCGCTGAACGCGAGCGATAAACACATAAAGTATAAACTATATAAAGTATAAACTGTATAAAGTATAAACGCATAAAGTATAAACTATATAAAGTATAAACGCCTCGTCCGTTTGGAGAGGTGCGCGCGGAGCCTCGCCCTCTTGCGGACGCGTCGAGTATACAAAGGCTTTACAAATGCTTAAAACTCACTCGCGGTGGTTGAGCGTGGTAAAGTTAGTTTTAGGTCCGAAATATTTCGCCTGACATTTGTTTTCCCTATAGCCACTGTTCTGGGGTCTTACAAAGAGATCAATAGCAGGAGTTTTAACAAACCATTGTATATCGACATTAATATTCGTTCATTAATATTCAAAAATCACCTGCGTGCATTTAATGCTGCATACCTGAGAATGCTTTGACGCGTTTACACAGCGCATGATGAAACGTCTGCCAATTCCACCAACTGCGTTAAAGGGGACATATCATGCAAAATCCACTTTTTTAGCCCTTAAATGCATTTTGTTGAATGAGTGTTTATAAGTGCAGAAAAGATGAGATTATTCTCTTCAGGTGCTTCGTTTATATCTTTATATTCTGTTTTGGTCATATTTTTCAATCTGTTCAGATTTTTCTGTTTTCTATGATGACGTGTGAGCAAGTGCGTCACTTGCAGCGGACCTGCCAAATAAGGACATTGACTACCGGTCCAACACTTCGAGCAATCCGCCATTATTATTTCTCGCTCCGATTTTATAGTCCGAGCTCAATGATGCAGAAGTTACAAGAGGGCAAGTCAAAATGTTCGGTTGTTGGATGTACGTTAGTGACCTGAAGCACTTCAAGGATTTCCACTTCAACAACCTCCGCCAGTATAAAGAAGGGTTTGCCGATTGACTTCGTCTGAATGAGAGGTAAATTCCTTCTATCTTTGGCGACGACGAACAGAGCATTTCGATAAGCTGTAAATATCGTTAATAAAAATAAAGTACTTTACTTTCTTAAAACACATGGTGGTCATGGTTTAGCAGTACCTTTGTCTTTCTTTGTTTTGGTTTTGAAGTAACGTTACACGTCTGCAGTATTATTGTTCTTGAGTTGGTCAATGGTCATTTAGCTGCGTTGTTTTCTGATGCTTTTCTAAATGTATCATATTGTCAATACAGATTTTTTTGTGGTAAGTCATTTATCTTGTCAGTGTGCTTGTTTTAACAAGAGAAATCGTCTCAGTTACGGATGTAACCCTCGTTCCCTGAGTAGGGAACGGAGACGTTACGTCGGAATGACGGAGAATGGGGGTTTCGCATAGAAAGCCAATCCTCTTCGAGTATTTAATAACGAGCCAATGGCATGAAAATGCCTTGGGGCTGCGGAATTTGCATAGCGTAACTCCGCCCGACCCCGTGGGTATAAAAGGAGGAAGTGAACGCAACCGCAGTGTCTTCGCTGAGGAGCCAAGACTGAACTCGGCGTCTACCCAGAGGTACAGCAGAAGTGGCAAGGAGACGTAACGTGTCCGTTTCCTACTCAGGGAACGAGGGTTACATCCATAACCGAGACGTTCCCTTTCGTAGTCACTCCGAGTTATGTCGGAATGACGGAGAATGGGGGTCTATGCCATCACGCCATCTTCATAGCTGTCTTCCAGTGCCCTGCGAAAGTCTGGACTCCTTCTTACTTAACTTACACAGGAGATACCTACTTTGACACAGGAATACCAAGGTACACTGGGAAACATATCTCGGGAGGGACATGCTACCAAATGCCTACGGTAGGGAGGACTTAGGAATAGACATATGGCCGTGTTAGGGACTACATATGGGGATCACTGGAGCACCAACCTGCTTAGGGTGGTTAGAAACTTAACTCCAGGAGTGTCAGATGGCTTGCCAAGGGAAGACACATGCTCAGAGAGGCTTACAGTGGATAATACACATGAGACAGTTACCATAGGGAACCGTGCACATGGAGGCACCTAGCCGGCATCCAGAGCAAAAGCAGTGGTGCCCACATCAGAAGTGCTGGAGGACTCAAGGCTTCAACGGAAGACTACTGAGAACATATCACACTTATCCAGTCCGAGGAGTGGAATGGCGAGCAAGCGAAGACACCTAAGCGGGTCCAGTACTGGCGGAAGCGAGTACGCGAGAGGACACCGGCTCTATTCGCAGATTATAGAATCTTGCGAAGGTGTTTGGTGTCGCCCAGCCTGCAGCTCTGGAAATGTCTGTTAGCAAGGCGCCATGCGCTAGAGCCCAAGAGGAAGCCATACTCCGAGTGGAGTGGGCCGTCACACCAAGGGGGCATGGTCGACCTTGCTGTTGGTAAGCCAAAGCGATGGCATCCACTATCCAGTGAGACAGCCGCTGCTTTGAGAGAGCCCTTCCCTTCTGGCTCCCCCCATGACAGACAAAGAGCAGGTCTGAGCTCCTGAAACACCGCGTTCTGTCAACGTAGGTGCGCAGCCCACGTACCGGACAGAGCAGTGCCAAGGCTGGGTCTGCCTCCTCCCGGGGAAGCGCTTGAAGGTTCACCACCTGGTCCCGGAAGGGAGTGGTAGGAACCTTGGGCACATATCCAGGCCGGGGTCTCAAGATCACGTGAGAGTAAGCCGGCCCAAATTCCAGGCACGCTTCGTCAACGGAGAATGCGTGCAGGCCCCCTACCCTCTTGATGGAGGCCAATGCAACCAGGAGTGCTGTCTTCATGGACAGAAACTTTAACTCTACCGATTGCAAAGGCTCAAAGGGAGGCCTCTGCAGAGCACTTAGAACTACTGAGAGGTCCCAAGAGGGCACGAGGGGAGGGCGAGGCGGATTTAACCTCCACGCTCCCCTCAGGAACCTGATGACCAGGTCGTGCTTACCCAGGGACTTACCTTCTACTGCATCATGAGACGCGGCAGCGACAGCCTGCGCTCCAACCCTTCTTGCAGGAAGGAAAGCACGACACCGATCGAGCATATCCGGGGGTCTTCACCGCGGGAAGAGCACCAGTTGACGAAGAGGTTTCACTTCAACGCATAGAGGTGTCTCGTAGACGACGCTCTAACAGAAGTGATGGTTGCCGCCACCGCAGCCTCCAGAGATCGGCACAGGGTGCCCCATCTCTGAATGAGTAGGTCTTGTCTCAGAGGAATAGGCCAAGGAGGTGCTGTCACAAAGAGCATAAGTTCGGAGAACCACGTCTTGGTGGGCCAATAGGGGGCTACCAGCAAGACCTGCTCCTCGTCCTCCTTGATCTTGCACAACACCCGTGCAAGAAGGCTCACTGGGGGAAACGCATACTTGCGTGGGCCCCGCGGCCAGCTGTGTGCCAGTGCGTCTGTGCAGAGCGTGCCCTCGGACAGGAAATAAAACTGGGCGCAGTGGGATGAGTCCCGAGAGGCGAACAGGTCTATCTGTGCCTCCCCGAACTGGTCCCAAATCAGCTGGACCGTCTGGGGATGGAGTCGCCATTCGCCGGAGATAGGGCGGACCCGTGACAGCTCGTCGGCCGCCAGGTTCCGGTCTCCTGGAATGTACACTGCACTCGATCGCGAAGCCACAGCTGAAGTGGTCTCATATGAAGCAATCCGAGCGGCGTTGACGCGGCTGCGGATGCCATATGCCCCAGGAGCCTCTGAAAAAGTTTCAGTGGAACCGCACTCTTGCCCTCGAACTGTCAAAGACAAGTCAGCAGCAGTGGTGGAATGTAACTTCGTTACTTTACTTAAGTACATTTTTCACATATCTTTACTTTACTTAAGTACAATAAATAGTGCATACTTTTTACTTTTACTTCGTTACATTTTGCAGCAATTATTATACTTTCTACTCCACTACATTTCTACAACTTCTGTTACATTTTCGTTACATTTTCTGATCAGTTTTTCCCCTGCCAAAACGTAATCTGACCGTCCGTTCGTTGCACGTTTGTCTCACCAGAGACGTTTGGTTGCCATAGATACAGTATATCAACCCGGTCACACTAAATGCGTCTCACACGCAGTGTGTTTATCGTGCAACTCATACGTGAAAATTTGTTTTTAGGAAACACACCGTGTGTAGTTTGGTTTGTTTAGGATTATGGCAAGCCAAGAGGTTCTTAATTACACCATGAATTAATCTCGTTTACTGCCAAACATAGTTATTATATAGTAAGGATAAGCATGATGTGTATATTGCCTAATTGCAAGCTTGTTTCAGAAATGGTGACATTTTTTTCCATCATTATTGAACATCATTATAGGTAGGGGTGCACGATTCAGAAAATGTCACGATTCGATTCGATACCGATTTTTTGTCTCGAGATTCGATTCAAAATCGATTTTCGATTCAAAAACGATTCTCGATTCAAAAAACGATTCGCAGGTCTACATAAATGTAGTTTACTTTTTCCTATGTGATTGATTGCAGTAGACATAATTTAAAAGAAAAGTTTGATATTACTTTATATGTCTTCATACAAAAATAAAAACTTTTGCAACTAAAAAGTGCGAAGTGCCAAGCTTTGGCCAGCTTTTAAATACATTTAATTCAAGTTTAAAATAAAACTGGAA